AAAATTTCTTGGAATGTAATGTCGTATCTGGAACAATCTGCCAGATAAAGTATTGACTGTAATCTGAGACAATTTACAACATTTGGGCAATTTAACCATTAGTTGAGAAATCTTCGCATTACCCCTAAGCATACTAGATGCATTAAGTCTAAAGGAAACTTTGTTACCATGTCAAAATTTAATTCAATTTAACACACCACTAAGATGTTCAGAATGCTTTTAATGACAAAAAATCTGAATCAGTGCTTAAAATTAGTGAAATATGTAGGAGAATTATCTTGCCACACCACTCTCCTTTCTAAGCACAACATTCACATCAGTTATAACCATTGTGTCCTTTAATACACTTTACAAATGCTCTAGCTGGTGCATCACATATGATAACAGCAAGATTGATTTTAAACTCAATATTTTCATAGATAAAACCATCTTTTGCAAGAACTTTGAAATCTACCAAAAAATTATGTAGACAATTAAGGTGACCTGCTATTCTCATATACTGAGTTTTTTTACTCTTTTTTCACAAACCATACTTTTTTCAAATCCTGTACTCTGAAAGTACTCATTTGTATTTCTAAAACATTTTTTTTATATTATTTCATTTCAATTTTATTAATTAAATATTTAAAATTATTTTTACAGTGATTTGAATTTCGTGCGCACATATTGCTAGCCGTTTCCAGCACGTCAGAGGACAGGGCAAACACCAGATACAAGTTTGACAGTGATTTAAATTTTGAACGCACATATGACTGCCATTTTCAACACTATTGAGAGGCCGTATTATATACCTGGAGAGATAGATAGATACTACAGACCTCTTTTTCTAACAACGTCAAAATTACATTTGTGAAAAGAGATGGATCCAACATTTGTGTATGTAATCCCGAGGCTGATCTTTGATGTGCAGTATGTACGCCATGCTTGACAGTCTTGACGCATGCGTAATATGTACAGCAAAGTTTTTTATTCATTTATTTAATTAAATAAAAGGATAACAAAAACCTTACTGTACATACTACGCATGCGCTTATGGTTAATTAACCATAAAATCAAAAATTACTAACTTAATTATAATTTTCAAATTTATGTTTGGTGTCACTCATATTAAAAAAAAGTCAATGGAGCAACACCTTTATAAAATAAACAAATAAAATAAAAAATAATAAGAAAGAAAAAAAACTACATTAATACAAGTAATAAAAAAAGAAGTATAAGGAACAATACTATTTAAAAAGTTGGAATTAACACAAAAATATTAAAGAGTAATGCTAAGAAAAATGAAAAAAAAAAGAGAAAATGAACGGATGAGATAAGATGAGTGAGAAAATATGTAAGAGAAAACAAAAACTTAATCACATAAGTTCAGGAGGATAAAGTGACACAAAAAAATTTTTGCAGAAAAATATAAAAAAACAAATTAAAGGCAAATTTAAATAAAAAAATATATACATACACTACTATATACAATATTAAAGGCTATATTAAAGCCTATAAACTGACCGCTTTGGAAGATTCCAATCCTGGAAAAAAAAAATTTTAATAGAAGTTAAAAATTTTTATAAAATTTGCTATGAATATATCGAAGAATGGATAATGAACTTAAGGGCATTGAATTGTTTTAAATGGATCCTTATAAATAGTAAAATCTAATGGAAAAAAATTTAAAGATATTGTTATTAATGACAATTTTCTTTTTGAAGAAATTGGAAGAGTAAATTTATTTTTAAATGAAGAAAAATTGAAGAAATGGAACAATGAGAAAATAGAAGTTGAAAAAAGATGGGTAGAAATCTTTTGGCATTTTAGAGTAGAACATATCCCACATGAAAATTTAAAAGTTTTAACAGAAATTTCTTTATTTTGTCCAGGCACTAATGCTGCTGTTGAAAAGGTATTTTCACTAAGAAATGATTATTGGAGCAGTGAGAAGTTGCAACTTTCTGTAAAAACATTATATGCCGTCTTAACAGTCAAATTTAATATAAAATTTAATATGTTCGGATGCAGCTACATTATTAGACGAACATCCTCATCTAGCAAAAAAAATCCACTCTGACGAAAAATATGTTTTAAAAAAAAATTAAGATTTTTATCGTTTTATCTTCCTTTTTTTTTTACCTATGAAATACTTGCAAAGTGTACTCTTTTTGAACAAAAAATAGTTGGTCCCCTTAAGATAATTGAAAATGGAATTAGATTTTTGGGCACCACTTTTTAAACAAATTTCTAAAAACATAATTTGGGTCCCCTAATATTGTAAGTCCTAGGCCTAGGCTCTGATGGCAACATTTATAAATAGCAACAACTTTTGGCAAAATTTTATTTAAAATTTACATGTATGTTTAAATTTTGTCACTATTTTAGATTTTAACTCCATAAATATTTTATATAAAAATATATTTTATATAAAATATTTATGGAGTAATATTCTCTTTTACTATCAGCTATCAAGATGATTAAACTGACTTGATCAGCTTAAGCAATTAATGAGTTTATAGCTGAAGATGAAATATACTGATATTTCATCTTCAGTATATGCAACCCCTACTTTATAGACAACATAGTTAATATAATGTATATACATTGTAATAATAAATGTGTTTTTTTTTATACTCAAATACTTATTTTTTTATTTTATGATACATTAAAAAAAATTTTTTTAAACACATGTTTTTTTATAATATTTAATACTTAGGAAATACTGACTTTTGCCGAATTTTCTTAAGATTAAAAAAATATTTACTTACATTACTCTAATCGAGGTTATAAACAACGGTAATATTTACTCAAGTTATTATATTTGTCCCCCAAAGTTAATGTAGCTCTATTATACATAAGTCTCTCACTAATTCTAATAAAAAAAAGTTATTGCCATTATTACTATAATTATATTTACTAACCTGTTATTATTAATATTTATCAAAAACACATTATGGTTGTTGAAGTCACTTTTACTCATATCAATATGCAAATATTGTCAACAGTCAGAGTGCACCATGCAGAAATATTCTTTAACATGCTGCAAAATACAAGATATACATAACATACATATCATATAAGACCTATTGCCTGGAACTTAACATTTTATATTGTTTAACTTACTGTAACTCAATTATAATAAATAAGCATATGGTTATAATCTATATAATAACTAACATCTTTTTTTAGTTATTGTTATTTATGTAAAAGTTATTAAGTTAAATTAAAGTTTTATAACTAAAGTTTGAATGCAAAAGTTTATATCAATAAAATTTTTTATCAGTATTATAAACTTAAGTATTATATTACAAGTATTTACAAGTATAGGTATTGTAAGTATAAGTTATTATTATGTATATTATGAAATTATTGTTTATATTGCAAGTGTACAATTTTAAATCAAAATCAAAAAATATCAATGATTAAAAAATGAGGTTGATGCATAACAATAAAGCCATATTTTTGCATTTAAACATCTAATTATATCTTTATTTATATCTGACGGTGGGTAAACTTCGTTAACATCAGTCATTTTGCTTGCATAAAATATAGAAAAATCTATGGAAAAGAGTGGATCTGTAAAAACTATTTAAAAGCTTTTAATTCCCTAAATATAACCTATCCATTACATTCTATTCGCCTGTTTGCTCTTTTTAAATGTTTCTGACTAAACTAATATTTTGATTAAACTCAAACCATTTATTATCTAATTATATCACTAGCTGCTAGTTTCTGCGAGTGACTAGCAGAAACAAAACTTTATATTTTGATCATTTTAAAAATGCAAACAGTGTCTCAATGGAACATTTACTACGTGTTTAATAGTTTCTGGAACATATGTTCAACAAATATGTTGAACTTTGTAAATTCATTTAAAAAATAGTATATATGTATATATATAAATTCTTTTATAATGATAATAAATAAGTGAAATTTTAAAACAACGTCTTTTTAACTGAGTTTTACAGTGACAAAACACATCAAAAAAAAAATCTTTGTAATTACAATGTAAATATAATGTATTCAAAAAATGTAATGCATAAAAGTTAAATTTTTAATCTTATTTCACGCACAATACGAATTAAAAATGGCAACCATCGAGTAAGTTTTGAATTTTACGTAGGGGAGATATACTCCCGACGTAAACATAAGCCTGTATTTCAACCCGCATAAAATTTGTTACCATGCGTCCGTATATGTGAATGAATTGTAAAGCTTTTAAGGTTTGTATAATTAGAGTAGAAATCTGTAACGAGCTTAGTATATTTTCTGTTAAATTATTATCTGTTACTACAGCAGAAAAAAAAGTTTGTTTTGAAGGTATGCTTTTAGTCTTTTAATTCTAATGCAATATTAAACAAGTCGGTATCAAGTCTCCCCTTTTTAAAAAATAAATAATTAACAAGAGTCATTTTATCAATAAAGTGATCCTTTTTTGAAGATGTTTTATGTTAGAGTAATTCTTCCCTTTACAAAGTGTTTATTGTGAGAGTAAGTCTTGCTTTTGTCAATTTTATTTAAAGGAGTAAGTCTTTTTTTTTTTTTTTTTTTCTTTAAAAAAATTTTTTTCACATAAGAGGAAGTCTCCCTTTTTAAAAAATAAATAATTAACAAGAGTCATTTTATCAATAAAGTGATCCTCTTTTGAAGATGTTTTATGTTAGAGTAATTCTTCCCTTTACAAAGTGTTTATTGTGAGAGTAAGTCTTGCTTTTGTCAATTTTATTTAAAGGAGTAAGTCTTTTTTTTTTTTTTTTTCTTTAAAAAAATTTTTTTCACATAAGAGGAAGTCTCCCTTTTTAAAAAATAAATAATTAACAAGAGTCATTTTATCAATAAAGTGATCCTTTTTTGAAGATGTTTTATGTTAGAGTAATTCTTCCCTTTACAAAGTGTTTATTGTGAGAGTAAGTCTTGCTTTTGTCAATTTTATTTAAAGGAGTAAGTCTTTTTTTTTTTTTTTTTTTTTTTTAAAAAATTTTTTTCACATAAGAGGAAGTCTCCCTTTTTAAAAAATAAATAATTAACAAGAGTCATTTTATCAATAAAGTGATCCTTTTTTGAAGATGTTTTATGTTTGAGTAATTCTTCCCTTTACAAAGTGTTTATTGTGAGAGTAAGTCTTGCTTTTGTCAAGTTTAATTCGAAACCCTAAATCTCTTTTTTTTTTTGGTCAAGTTTTATTTGAAAATTTGAAAGAGAGTAAATCTGTCACCTTTATATCTCCTCCTGTCCTGCCTCACATTTCAAAGATGTTATAAAGAGATAAATTTCATAAAGTTTATGCATTAACTCAACCGTACTCCTGATTTTTGTGAAGTTGTGACTGCCAAGTTTTTTTTCAAAAATAATATTATTTTAATTTTTTTAAGCATCTATCAAGCAATTTCAGCTTTCAATTTTACAACTTATTTAAGTGAAATTTAATCCTGCACATGGAGATACCTGGGTAATATTAATTTAGTTAATTTACTTTATTTATACAAATATATTATAAAGTTAAAACTTTTAAAATATAAAGACCCAATTTAATTTTTTTTTTAGTTTTACGTGTTCTACTTGTATGATGACATTTACAAGAAAAGATAACATGAAAAGACATACATTACTAGTTCATAAAACTATTTTTAGAGATAAACAGTCCAAAGATAAAAGAACTCCATGTTATTATCAAAACTGCACCCAAGTTTTTTTTCAAAAAGTTAAACTAATTAAACATATAGAGGACTGTCATGAAGGTATATTTCACAAAGAATCCCTTCATTTTTCATCAGAATGTGAATTCACAGCATGGAAGGAAAAAGAGGAAGTTGATAATTATGTTTTTTTCAGTAAACAAGCAGGCAGTTTTTTTACTGGAAATAATAGTGACAAAGAGGTAAAAACAAGTTATTTTATTTGTCAATATGATGGTCATTCAAAACCACATCGCTCTGCTATTGAACCAGCACGAAAAACAAGTAAAAGGTACTACAGAGGGAGTGTTAAATCGGGTGCTTTTTGCCCTGCCAGGATGATTGTCAAGGTAAGCAAAAATGGAGCCACAAATGTGCATTATATCAAAACTCATAATCACACTATTGGTATTACAAATACCATGTACCAGCCTATTCCAGACAATGTTAAGAAATGTATTTCTGCTAAATTATCAATTGGTGTGTCTGTAAATAAGGTTTATCAAGATCTTAGGGAAGGTTTTGGAGACAGACAAAATAGAAATAAAGGAGATGATTTTCTCACTAAGTCTCATCTTCTTACCAAAAAGAACATTTCAGATATAAACAGAACAGTAAAAAAGGGATGTCGACTTCACCCTGATGATAGCACTTCAACCTTTTTACTTGTTCAAAAGTTGAAGTCTGAAGAGTTTAATAGCATTCTGGTTTTTAAGCCACAAGGACAACAAACTATTATTGGGCCTAAAGTGTATGATGACATTGATTTTAATAAGGATTCTTTTGTTATTGCTATACAAACAAAGCATCAACTGTCAATGTTTGAAAAACATGCTTCACAAATTGTTTGTATAGACTCAACACACTGTACCAATCAGTACGCATTTCCTCTTGTAACTTTACTTGTTCGGGATGATTTTAAGAGGGGCTATCCAGTAGCTTTTCTTATTTCTAATCATGCTAACGAACAAACCATAACACCATTTTTAGAAGAAATAAAAAAGAGATGTAGTAGTTTTGTGAAAGTTAATGCTGTTATGACAGATGATGATTCGTCAGGTTGGAATGCTTTTTGTAATGTTTTTGGAGATGTGCGTCACTTGCTATGTAAATGGCATGTAAAACGTGCTTGGCGTAGTAAACTTTCTTTGGCTGGTCCTGCTCATTTACAAGAAGAAGTTTACAAGATCTTAGAGACAATTATTGATGAAAAAGATCCTCAAGTTTTTCTATCAACAATGAATGGATTTATCAAGGTGTATGAACATAAATCTCCTAACTTTATTAAATACTTTGTCACATACTATGCTTCTAGACATATAAAATGGGCTTCTTGTTATCGCAACTTCCAACATGCAGATACTGATACTAATATGTTATGTGAATCATTTCATAACAAATTGAAGACAGTTTACATGGAAAGAAGACCTAATAAAAGGTTAGATGACTTGATTAATTTACTTCTAAAAATTGAAGAAGATAGTTATTGGCGATACAAAAGAGACAATATTTATCTAGGTACAATATCGCTCCCCAAATATTATAAAAAAAGGCATGAAAAAGGAATGTTGATTTCAGATAACTGTGTTGTTAATGTTTATCAACTCAATACTCAGTTAAAAGCCAATCTAAAGATCTAACATATATTGTTTCCATTTTAACTAACATTTGTACAGAAAGTTCGTGTTTAGAGGTATGTCTAAATCCTGCTTGCAATGGTTTGTGTGAGCATTTGTATAAGTGTAATTGTAATGACACGGTAGTCCTTTGTAAGCATGTTCACAAGTTACAATCATTCCTTCTGAAAACTCAAGAAAAAGATTTTGAAAAAGTATCTGTGGCTGTTGATATAAATGATAATCAAATTAAGAAAAAATCAAAATTGTTAGTTAATGAGGCTGAAAGATTTCACAAAAATATTGATGAACTATGTTTGTTAGTGACTAATCCCATGATAATAAATCTGCATCTTCCATCAATGAACAGACAACTTGAAGACATGATCAGACAAGCTGAAGCTATCAAAAATATAAGTTCAATCGAGATACCTCTTAAGCCATTGTTGCACAATAACCTTTTAAATTTTGAGCCAAATAAGAAGTTGGATAATCAATGGAAGCCTAACAAGTTCAAGAAAACAAGAAAAGAAAAAAAGAAAAAAGAAGCAAAACTGTATCAATATCCTGTGCAAAACCAAAAAGAGGAAATAGTTTTGAAACTGTCTCAACAACATATTGACTTAATTCATAATAAACAAGATAGAGTAATATGCGATGACATAAAAACTAGTGACTTCAATAAGACTCTCATTACGTAAGGCTTAAATACACTTTACTAGCACATTTTTGCTACTAATTTTTTTTTATAAATATCTTTACACATTTTTAAATGTTCTTTTATGTTTGTGAAGAAAAGCATATATTGCTTGAATATTTTTTTAGACATGGCCCCCATCAACTTTCTTTTAGTTCCCTTTTGACACTAGAAAACATTATACCATCTGACATTTTGCTAAAATTACAAAACAGTTCTCCGCATTTTCAGAAAGGCTGGCTTCAAGATGAAGTTATTGGAGGTTTTCTGCATTGCTTAGAAATGAAGTATCCTTCAATGAAATATTTAGGGCCAACTGAAGCATTAGCTATAAGCTATTCAAAGAGTTTAAAACTTTTATGGAAAGATGTTGATATGAAGATTATAAAACAGGTCTTTATTCCTTTTAATCCAACTAATTCTCATTGGATTTTAATACATCTAAAAGTAAAAACAGAAGAGGTTACTATACTTGATCCACTTCATTGTAATAATATGCCTAACAATTCATCATACAATAAATGCATTTTAGTTGCTAAAAACCTTTTTAAACAAAAATTTAACATTTTAAATGCAAAAGTCATTTCAGCCCCAAGTCATTGTTTACAGAAGGATAGTTATAACTGTGGCGTTTATGTATGCTACTATGCATTACAACTTTGCGAAGGTATCACTGCTTTTATTATTTTAGTGCATTTGTTGATTTTGAACTTATTTCATATATTTTATTCATTCTGTATTGTTTCCTACTGAAATTGATTATTTGTAGTGTTTGCATTGCTATTACTTTGTCAGCAACTATTTACAAACAGAACATTAGACGACTCCTAATTTTTTTTAGAAAAAAATCTTAATGATCCATTTGATGAAGTAGATTTTCGAAAATATATTTATGAGACTTTATGCGGTAGTTGCTTAAAGAACCTTGAAAGTGGTTTTGAAAGTTTGTACAATATTTGCAGGGCAAGTGTTTATTTTCTTTTAAAATATAAATAAATTCATTATAGAATTAGAGAATAATTTTTTTTCTTTTTTGTTAAATTTTAATTGAAAGTGATTTTGTTGGCAATCATCAAATACATGTAAATTGTTTTTTTTTTTTTGTTTTTGGTTTTTTTTACTTTACCTTATTTCTTCTTGTTGTTTGCAATTATATTATAAAATACAGCTATCTATATTGATATATAGATTTTGTTAGCAATATAAATAATGTAATAGTGATTATTAGGTTTTCCCAAAAAATAACATTTTTGAAAAATATATGCAGAGACCCCCTTAATGTGTTCTATATGATAAAAAGACACTGGTTTTAAAAAAAATTTGAATAAAAAATGTTTTTAGGGGTCCCCCAAGACCCTTGAACATATTACGAGTTCCTAATATTACAAAAAAAAACTATTGAAAAGTGTATCATGTTGGGTCTTAAATGAGGCGAAATCGTATGAAAATTTCAAAAATAATAATTATATTATAAAAAAAATCATTAAAAAAAAATATTCTCAAAAATCTTGGTACAAATGCTCTTTTTTTTTTTTAGTTTATAAACTTTATTTTTAATGTTGTTAAATCTAATATATTTATTTTTTATAGTTTATAGTTATCATTTTTAAAATTTTCATATCATTTCGCTTCATTTGAGAACGAACATTAAAAACTTTTAAAGATTTTTTATTTTGGTAACATTAGGGGAACTCATATGTTCAAAAGTTTTGGTGGACCCCTAAAAATATTTTTATTAAAATTTTTTTTTAAACCAGTCTTTTTATTATATAGAACACAAATATACACTCTGCGTATATTTTTACAAATGTCGTTTTTTGAGACACCCGAGTGATTATCAAGAATATTTTTATCATTTTATTATTACAGAGTTGTAAGAACACGTCTTTTAAAAAAAAAGATTGGGTGCAATGTACAAAGTGTCCTCAGTGGTATCATTGTGAGTGTGTCCACATTTCAATCAAAGATGCAGATGTCAGTGAAACTTTCCGATGTCAATGATGCAGTTCTGTTATGTTTAAAAAATGGCTATTTTCATAGCCACAAATCTTGTTCAAAACATTAATTGACACGAATAATTAGTTGAACAAAACTAGTTCCCTTTCAATTCTATTGTTTTTGTTTTAGATAAGCATGAATAACTTTTGCATGAATAATCTTTGAAAATTTGTATCGATCAGTAGCAAGAGTGGATGCATAAGGTATAACCGGTATAGCTTTAAACAAGGATATCTGTTGGATGGCTTTTTTATGGGTCATTGGCAGGGTTGGGGTCAAGAATTCATTTGTGTTTGTATTTGGTAAAAATGGGCAAATTTGGCGTATTTGTATTCGTATTGTACTTGATAAAAAAATTCTTAAATATTTGTATCTGATTAAAATTTATTTGCAGTTCCATAAAGTAGGTTAACCCGTGTTTTGTTGGCAAATACTAAGAGGTTCGTTGTTTTTTTTTTTTTTTTTTTTTTTTTTTTTTTTTTTTTTTTTTTTTTTTTTTGGATTTTTAGACTATTTAATAATTCTTGTCTAGAAAAAATATTTATATTTTTTCGTAACCTAAATTACAAGTATTTGTATTTGGAAAATACTGATTGTTTGTACAAATTGTACTGCAACCAGATATATATATATATAATATATATATATATATATATATATATATATATATATATATTTAGTATCTTCAGGTTTGTACGATTGGTGGTTAAGAAGAAAAAAATGATTTAACCAAAGTTATCTCATTCAGTTTCTCGACTTTTCGTAGATTACAATCTACGTTCTGTTTTGGATGAAAGAAAGATTTTTCTGTAAAATTCTTAAAAATGTTTTAGTTTGAATAATTTATGTATATTTGTACTTAACGGTTTTCCACCTTAAAATTGTTACGTTAATAAATATATTGTTTACTTACTAATAAATAAGTGTTGATTTTTTTTTTTTACGTTTTTCTGCACAAAGTTCCACATAAAAAAACAATTGAACTTGATAGAAAAATATTCCCTAGTTTTTTTGAAAATATTTGGTTGAACCATTGGCGATCTATACTATTGGGATTGCGATCGTGAAATCGGCGTATCTGACTGTGGGGGATGGGCGAGGTCTATTTATAATTATCCTTAGTTATAACGGGTGGTTACTAAAAATCCGGACAAACTTTCAAGTGCAATTACTCCCAAAGTTTTTATGGTAGAGATTAAATAAAACTATCATTAAAAAGAGTTTTTAGTTATTTATTTATTGTAATTAAGTTTGTCTTCAACCAGTCTGTTTCTTCGGATTCGGCCAACTCTAACACGAGTTGACCCTAAAAGTAAAAATACAAGGTTAAGGTCAATTTTTTTTAGGCAAAGCTTTATTTTGGTTCGTAGTTGTTTCACGTCTTTTGCTTTACTACTTTTACTTTACTCTCATACACTTTGCCTTTCAAAATAGCCCAAAAGTCTTCGATTGGGCGACACTCCGGTACGGCTGGCGGATTGTCAACTTTTTTGATAAAATTGACGTTATGAGTCTCGTAGCAGCTGGTCACGGTTTCGAACTTGCGCTTTTTGCGATATTTAACACTTGGTGGAGTCTTGTCTCTGTTGCTAGAGTAGTAGGTGCTGTTTCCATTAATTGTTGAGTGTGACAGCGTGAAGTAAGACTCATCGTCAAGGATGACCGATTTTCCTTTAAAAACGCGATAAAGACGATCAATGCCATTTTTGATTCGCTCATTCTGTTTCTCTTGTCGATGAGGTATACCCTGTTTTGTATAACTTTTGATGTCAGTGTACTTGGCAAGAGTTTTAATGATATGACTACATCCAAATTTTTTGAATGACTGCATCCAAATTTTCGACCAGCATGCCTCGTCGAAATTCGGTCACTGTGATCAAATATGGCTTTCAGGCGCTTAATCCTCTTAGGGGTCATGATTTTGGCCACACGACCACTTCCTTGCACTCTTTTGTGCCCAGAATCATTCTCAACACGTTTGATTATATCATAGATAGTGCTTCTTGGGATTTTTTCAGCATTGAAGTGAGCTACTGTGAACTTTTTACCTTGCAATTTATCATTCAAATAGAACTCGTAAATTTTCTTACCTCTTCTTGCTTGGTCATCATTATTTTTTTAATTATTATTAATTATCTAAAAAAAAAAAATTAACTTATAGAGAATTAAATAAGCTATAAAATGGATATAAACATGAATAAAAAAGATTTAGCTTGTGGCATTTAAAATTCAGTTAAAGTTTGTCCGGATTTTTAGTAACCACCCGTTAGTTGTTATTTTAGTGATATTCAGATATAAATAAATATATTTTATGGTTGTACCACACTTATTTTTTAAAAAATAAATTAATTAATTTATAGCTCTCAGAATTTCGATTTTCCATTAAACATACACATTGAGTTAAACATACACATTGATTTAAAACAGTGTGTTCATTGAATGTTTATAAAACTGAATACTGTATTTTTCATTTCCTCAAAAAACTATTGATAATATTAAAATTAACGGAATAAAACTTTTTCCGTCAAAATATATAAAGTATCTTGGAGTATATCTTGATGAAAATCTATCTTGGTATAATCAACTGTACCATCTTAGAAAAAAACTAACACGAGCTAACACGAGCTAACACTTTCTCTAATTCGTTACTATGTTCCTATCTAAACTCTTCGAATGATTTATTATTCTTTATTCTCTTCTCACCTTTGCTATTGCTGTATTGTTATTTTTAATATTATTGATACTTCTATTATTATTGTAATTAATTTGTATTATTATAATTACGACAAATATCATTATTATTTGTTTAACAATCTTTTCTTTTTCTCTCTTTTATTTTATTTATTTTTTTTTTGCTTTGCTTTCTTTTCTTTATATTTTTTCGAGAATTTTAGGTTTTTTAGTTGTCGCCCATTTGACTAGTTTGTAACTATATGAGTGACTCCTAACCAAATTTTAATAATTTAAGATAAACATTTGTAACTGTTTATTGATATGATTACAATATCAATAAACAGTTACAAATCATTGTTACAATATCATTGATATGAAGTACAATGAAGTACTAACAGAATACGGTTGACCCTTTTTATGGAATTTGTGTTAAGGAAAATATTGTTGCTAATAGCGTTGCTATAAATAAAATCATAGAATACTTAATTAAATTGAAGATTTAACTTAGGGCTTTCCGAAAAATTATTATGAAAATGAGAATCTAGTTTGTTTTTTGAAATAAAATGAGCATTATATTTTAAAGTTGCTTTATAAATATTATTTACTATTGTAACCTCTCAAAAGATTAAAACAAAGTTTTGTTTCAAAGAAAAAATTGAGACAAATAAAAACTTTCTTATTAATTTAAAAATATAACTCAATCGCCGCATCAGGTACTTGATTTTAAATTGCGCCTGATGTTAACAATAATGACTTAGTGTAAAATTATCACAAATTTATATACAATGCGGGGCGCGATTACGGGTTTATGAAATTGAATAGGAGTATTTCTCCCCTACACTTGATTCGTAAGTTTTGTTATGATTTTTTTTAAACCTTATGGGAAACCCGTCAAATCCCCAGGTTATTCGGCCCTGATAAAAACCATATAAAACCCTAACGAGCAATTATGCTTGATTTTATTACCATATGGGACCCGTCTGGAAACCAAAACACTTACCCGTCAAAATCCCGTTCCCGTAAGCCCAGACAAAAACCATACGGTACCCGTCTGTCAATGTTGGCTGGGTTAGCACATAGTTTTATGCGCGATACTCTGTCGAAAGCTTTTCGAAAGTAGGTATACAAAACATTAATTGCAATACCGTTTAATAATGCGCCTGTTAAGGTGTCTAGAAATTCTAGTAAATTTGTTGTGCCAGGGCCGACGACACGGGTTTCGACACAATCAATTTTATATTTTTAATTAAAAAAAGTTCTCTATTTAAATTTTTGTTTGACATACACTCCGCAACCGACTCCGGTAAACTATTCCATCCCAAGACAACCCTGTTTTATGCCCATTAGGGTTATTAATATAATATCTATATTCTATTGAAATTACATATAGCGGCTCTATGAAAAGATTACGATGACGTATTGTCATCAACCTCAAGTGATGTAACTATTTGTTTAAGTGGTATTTAAATTGTCGAAAAATTACTAACAGGATTGCTTTTAGTTTAAACTTCAACCAATAAACGTCTTGATATAAGTCTAAGAGTGTTATGGAGTTAATAACCACAAAACCCTATTAACTCAATATAGACGTGTCTCACGTAAAATGTTTTTTTTTATTCACATTACAGTCGAGAAGATCTACTAATTTATTTTGCTGTTAAAAAAAAAAAAAAATAACATACATATATACAAGGAAAAAAAAATATGTCCGTAAAAACGAAGAAGACAGTAAAATCTTGTCAACAAGCACCGTTTTTGTATATACAATATAATATATAACTTTTTCTTATTACAATAATCTTTATAAAATAAAGAACTAAACAGACAGGGACTCAAAGAAGATGAAGATGACAATACGTCATCGCAATCTTTGCATAGAGCCGCTATATGTACTTTTAATAGAATTTAGATATTATATTAACAACCCGAATGGGCATAAAACAGGGTTGTCTTGGGATGTAATAGTTTACCGGAATCGGTCGCGGAATCTACATCAATCAAAAATTTAAATCCAACCTTTAACTGATTGACTAACAAATAATATCAAACAAAAAAAAAAAAAAATGTTTTTTGACAAATATTGTATTGGCTAAGATAATGCCAGCCGGCTGGCATTATCTCAGTTACGGTCGTTTAGATTAGGGTTGTTCACGAAAGCCAAAGTTGAATTTTCGATTAAAAAAAAAGTTTTCGAAACTCTTTTTTCGTTTCGGTAAGTTCGAAATAATTTTAAAGTAATTAATTTTGCATCGAAACGATTTTATACTTTCGGAAATGTTAAATTTGCTTTGAAATATATTTGCGATTTCGAAGTTTTGAAAATATATTTTCAAAACTTCGAAATCGCAAATATATTTATTTATAATATATAATATATATTATCGAAATAATTTTTTACTTTCGAAAATATAAAATTTGCTTTGCAATATATTTGCGATTTCGAAAATCGGAAATATTACCGAAACAATTTTTTACTTTCGAAATTGTAAAATTTGCTTCGAAATATTTTTGTGATATCGAAATTCTGAAAATATTACCGAAAAAAAATTTTTACTTTTAAAATTCTAAACTTGCGTAGAAATATTTTAGTTATTTCAAAATTCTGAAAGCATTACACAATGTACAAATATTGCTATTAAATTCTAAAATTTGCATATATTTATTTTATTACTAAAATTGTTGAAAATTTTAATAAAATGTTTTTATAAATAATTAAATTTTAAAAACTAACATAAAATAATGTTTACAATTTTTGGTTTACAGTGGTGACAGAGAAAAGGCTTTAACTACCTCCCAATATTTTATAGAAGAATCTGCAATTATTTTAAAAATAATTCAGGGGTCGTTCGCAAATCACCTCACATATTTAGGCCTAGCGGGGTTTCGGATTATTTTACACTTTGTAACCGGGGGGTGAGAGAGGGTTTACAAATTTGTGACAAACAGGTGATTAAAACGGAATAAATTAAAATTACTAACTTTAATAAAACTCTAAATATATAGAAAATAGTACTATTTTTGCTACTTTTTAAAAGAAACTGCTACCAAAAAGCAAGGATATACTCAGAGCCGTGGATAGGTTCCCCACGCTCCCTTAATTAGGTAGGGGGGGGCAAATTTATTGGCTCTTTTTTCAAATTTTTGAGGGCCTTTTACCGAATTTGGGGAGCTTTTTTAATTTTAGTAACAGGTTTTTTTAAAGTTTGGGGCCTTGGTTTTTGGCTCAAAGTTCTTGATTGGTGTTGCA